GACATTGCACTAGTAAAAATCCAAGTAGATAAGTTACAAAGTGTTGTAACTATCCCATAACTAATGCACAAAAACTTCATAAGTCTAAAAGAATTCATCAAAAGTCGAAAAGATATGATTTTTTTATCTCTACACACTCGTGATGTGTATTCTATAAGGGTGACAAACCTAATACCTATGAAGAAGTTATATTAAACATTGACTCTAAGATATGGCAAATGGATCTCAAAACTGCTTTTCTTAATGAAAATTTGAATAAGGATGTATACAAGACATATCCCGATAATTTTGTCATCAAAGTATATACAAATATGATTTACAAATTACAAAGGTCCATTTATGGACTTAGGCATGCATCTAGGAGTTAGATTCAATATTTTAATAAAATGATCAAAATGTTTAGTTTTTCATAAAATGACCTTATGTATACAAAAGGTTAGTGGGAGCTTAGTAATCTTTGTTGTTACATATATAGACATCGAATCGCTTCTGGCTATAACATTATCATTTTGCAATCTATAAAAGATTAAGTATTCAAGACTTTCTTCATGCAAAATATGAGAGGGTAGCCTAAATTCTAAGAACAAAGATATGCATAGATAGATAACGTAGAATGTTATGGCTCTTACGAAATGCATACATTGATAAAGTACAAAAAGGTTTAGTATGGAAGAATCAAAGAAAGGACTTCTTTTAATGCCACATACCTTGATAAACAACAACAATGAAGCCATAGAGCAAGCTAAGGAACCAAGGTCTCATCAATAGTTTAAGCATGTACTATGACATTACCACTCGATTAGAGAGATTATCGATCATGGTGACATAAGGATATAAAATATTCACACCGATGACAACATAGTAGACCTCTTGACTAAGTCTTTATCATAGCAGACCCCTTGACTAAGTCGTTATCATTGTAAAAACATGAAACCCTTATTTGATCGTTAAACATATGTGACATGGCTAATTGACTCTTGTACAAGTAGGAGATTGTTAGTGAAGGTTCCCTAGATCCAATTTGTTTGGATTGTTTGATTTATTACATCATTGGTTTTAATATTAATAAAGAAGTATTTTTATTAATTCTTGTTATTTATAATTTGATAGAATTATATAAAAGTTCATATGATATGCATTGCATTAATATTTGATCAATAGATGTGAGATGAACATCAATGTATTTAAATGATATCATTAAATATCCCAAGTTGTAGTATTGTCAAGAATAAACACCGATAACATACGACAAAATTTATGAGTGTTATGCTCTTGTTATAAGATAGCAATAAGAGATCTTAAACCTATTAGCATGGTGAAGTCAAAGTAAGCACTCGAGTGAATAATATTAGAGAACATATCACTAGACATGACTCACTATGAGAACTCATTTGGTATTACCTATGGGAATCTCATACGAGATGGGTACATGTAGTGTTTTGACTTGAATTCATCATGATTATCTCATTAAAGGATTGATGAACTTTGACATTCATTTTAATAGGTTCAAAAAAGAGCTGCATGTGAACGATTCATTAGGTAAATTGGGAATCTAATAAAGATAAGTGGATGACTAAAATATGACATGTTATTTCCTACACGCTAAATGAGTTATCACATAACATTTCGATGAATGACTACTCAAAAAATCTATGGTCACGATGAAAATATACCAATAGAATATATTTGATTTACTTGAGAGCTAAGACATTTGGAGATTAAAGAAAACTTATGTGATCACAATCGAATAGACTATAAACCTAGCTCAAGATAATACTATGATAAATTGACACGAAAACTAAATTGAATGAAAACCATACTCATAAAAGGTAATTGTGGATTAATTAATCCTTTTAAAGAGTTGGATAGTCATGATGTCATGCTAGAGGCCAATCTTAATTTATGTATCAAGAGATAAAAGAGGTGTCTTTTATCTTCTCGATACATTACTAATATATCTAGAAACCTATTGGATCATATGCATAACATTCACACAATAAAAGAGAAGCAAATGTTATAAAAAAAAAAAAAAGTTTTCTTTTTTGAAAAATCAGTTTCCTAAAATGGAAATCAATTTCTTATTTTAGAAATCAATTTTCTAATTTGGAAATCGGTTTCCAAATTTGAAAGTCGATTATCTAAAATGGAAACGAATTTCCTAATTTAAGTTAAAGGATAACTTAGGAAATTATTTCCCGATACGAGCCTATCTAAAAATATCCGATCTAATTTATATAGATGGCCCAAATTAATTAGTAATTAATTGACCAAAGGAGTTTGGGCTAATAGGTTAATTAAAAAGCTCGTAAGATATTTTTTGTGGATGGATAATCTTGAGAAATAAAGGATAAGACTCGGGTTTACAAGGATAAGGTTAGATAAGCCTATATTAGCAACAACTCTTTTTCTAAAAGGAGTTGTTCCCGCCACTTATAAATAGAGATAGGGAGAGAGAGATGATTCGGACATAAAAAAAAATGGCTTTACGCATCTTTCACTTAGAATATTAGAAAATGAGTCTCTCTTAATTAAGAAAAGGTAAAAATTTACTAGTCCTCTTTAGCAAAATATTATGAAACCCTTACCAACTTTTTAGTGTAAATTTTGCATAGCAGAAAAGGATTAGAGCTAATACTCTATGATTTCTACTCGCTTCTCGTATAGTTGTTTAAGTTATATAGATCATTAGTAGAGACCGGACTCTTGGATGTTTCTTTCTATAAAATTTGAATTCTACGTTATAAGAGGTAATTACTTATTATCTTATTATATTTATATGATTAATCGATTCAACGGTTGATCTTGAAAACTTTAGATGGAGGAAATAAAAATTTTTTTTTACTCTACACTTCTATAGGATGCATGATCCTTTCATCGACCACCTAAGAGCATCTCTTTACCTTCAAAGTAGTAAATCACACACGATCAATCTTTGCCTTTAAGCCGAGTTATCTCACTTGACCACCCAAGTAAGAAATTGTTGTTTTCCTTCACTTATTTGCAACTTAAATCACAATCATCGTGCAAAACCTCGTATTGCTTAGAAGGATCTAATTTTAGGGTTAGTCAATTTGATTTTAGGCTTTGAATTAGGATAAGGGTCGGATTAAGGAAGTAAATGAAGCTCGAGGTTTCTTATTTAAGTGGAAAAGAAGGAAATTAGGGGAATTTAATGAGGGCTTTAGTTTGTTTGAGAGATAAAAAAAGATAGGTCGAGGGAGAATGAGAACATAAGGTTTAGTTGGAGAAGAGGACGAAGGCTTAGAGACTTGATTTTGGTGATTTGGGGCTAGCTTAGGGGAAGTGTTTGAAGCATCTAGGACTAATGTGGGTGAAGAATTGAAGGCTAAAAGGCCCATCCTATGTGGAGAAAGACCTAGTACCGGGAGAATGGGCTAGCTTAGCCCAACCCAAACTCAAAAGGAAAAAAGTAGACCTACCCAGCGAGTTTGGCCCAATGGCTCGAAAGCTTACTATGTGCAAAAGCCCAATACCCTTATTTTTTTACTCTTCATTTTAATTAGAGGTTTCCTTGGATAAATTAATTTTGAAATTTTAATACATGCCTCTTCTTTTAATGCCTAGTTTAGATTTTTTTTTTTTTTGGAATTGTTAAGTTCCTTATGCCTATTTATTTGTTTAATTTAATGCATAGTTTTTAATATCTTTTGATAATTAAATTAGGTAATTAATGTAGAACGAATTGTCGAGTCTCTTATTTTCTAGGGACTCGATGACAACTCTCCATAAAGTCTAAAAAAATCAAAATAAAATAAAAGGCATAAAAAAGAAAAAAAAAAAAAGATGAAAAAATAGAGAAGATGCTAGGAGAAAACTAAAAAAGTCTCATATCTAATATGGATTAATCTTAACTCAAATCAATCATATTTTAGTAATTAGACCATTCTTCAATATACCGGTTATATCGATACTTAAACTAGATCCGATGTTGAATTGAGAAAACTCTCGACGATAGGGTCCGACGATTGATTCAATATGATTCCACAAATAAAAATAAATCAATTGGCTTGGGAAATAAAACTTGGAATTTCAACTTAGGATTAATTTTGGTAAAAAAAAAATTAGGAGATAAACTTTAGGACTAAACTAGACATCGAACCTTTTCTAAGAAAGGATAGGGCGATTTATATTTTTTAAAAATCATAATCAACTCCTTATCTTAGAATCACCGAACTAATGTCCATTTTAGGTTTCTAATTACCTTTAATACTATGTACTAACTCCGAAATTAATAATAGCTCGTATCTTCAAACAAACAAAATTTTCAACCAATAATCATAAATTTTGGAAATCTCATAAATGTCGGGTAGTGAGAAATCCTTTTATTAATATTTTTTTTATGAATTCAATTCCTCCGTATATCTCCATTATATTTATTACATTAACCAAATGGGGTTAATTAACTTCAAATAAATGATAGAAATCATGCCACATATACAGTTTGTCGTAATTCAAATAAAAAAAGATTAATTTTATTGGAAATTAGTGAAAACTAAATAATAAAAAAATTGATCAATAATGCAATGTAATGTATTTTTTACGATACCTAGAAATCAAATTTGAAGTTAAAAAGATCGAAGATTTAAATCCCAAAATACTAATCTTTGAAAAATCCAACTTATTAAAAAATCATCATAAAACTAGAACTAAATACGTTTTCAATTAAAAAATAAAAAGAAAAAATATTTAGATCGAGAACAAGATAATTCATTTAATTACCTCACAGCTCCAAAAACAAAATACCTTATAAAATCAGCATATATCAATTTATCACATGTCATTAACAATTTTAAAATAAACACCGTTAATTGAATTAAGAGAGAGAGAGAGAGCTATATACATTGAAATAGAAATATAAGTTTTAAAACACTTAGATTAGAATATCTATATAAATAGCAAGATTAAATTTTTCATTACCTTCACAAATTCATATTTGGTTAATTTCTAGTTACTAATTCTTGACTAACAATAGTTTGCAGATAAAAAAAGGTCCACACAGCATTCATCCATGTCTTCGTCAAGACAAGATGGGACCAGAAACATATATAGTATGTGATTCAAGTTGTAAATGTACATGTTTTATAATTAAGATGATTCTGATTTCGTTGTCCATTGGAAAGAGCCCGGAAACATAGTATATGAACCAAAAAAGAAGCATCCACAAGGCGAAGACATGTCGTAACCGCAAACGTCATCATCCATATGTTTTTATCTATTTTGTTCCGGGTTCATATAAATAAAAACCGCGGCAAAAAATAAAAAATAAAAAAAGCTATATAAATAGTCAAAAACTCTCAATTCTCTTTCTTTTAACTCTAATTTCTCTTCTTATTTATTCCTTTCATTCCCTTTCTTCTCATCCTTTTTTTCATTTGACTCTCATTAACTTAATGAAGTTGAAGCTATCAATCGGAATTATTAAGGAAATCCAAATGCCAGTAAACAGAAAGAAGATTCGTTTATGGAGATCTTTAGGTATTATAGTTTTTAAAGGATTTTGCTAATATATGGTTTATGTATTTTTTGAATTATTCTAATCTAGATTATGTATTTTTTTCGTATTGATTGAGTCTCTCTATTTTTTATTTTATTGGGTTATCGTCTCTCCGTTATGACACCTTTAATTTGTAAGTTAACATAGCATGTTACACTCCTAAATACATTAAATATGTCATATGTAGGACTTTAATAGAGAAATTCAATCAAAATAATTCAAAGACTATAAGAACCAAATTATTATTATTATTTTCATGTTATTATTTTTAATTAAAAAAATGAACCTAACAAGAATTATTAACCAAAGATATAGTGATGTCCAACATCGATCAATTAAAAACTCTTAATTAATGGATCAAATCAACCCAAATACTAAAAAAATCCTAAGTATTTGAATTTTTTTTTTTTTAACTCATATACCCAACACACACATCCAAGGCTCCAAATTATTATTACTATTTTCATGTTATTATTTTTAATAAAAGAAAAAAACGAACCTAACAAGAATTATTAACCAAAAATATAGTGATGTCCAATATCGATTTGTTACAAACTCTTAATTAATGGATCAAATCTACCCAACTACTAAAAAATTCTGAGTATTTGATTATTTAAAAAAAAAAAAAAAACTTATATAACCAACACATACATCCAAGGCTCCTAACAAAACTAGTCTTTTAGAATTTAAATCATTGACTTCTTGTAAAAAAAAAAAAACTATTGGGCTATAAGCTCTTTGGTTCCGAGTATTTGATCAATTCAAAGTGAAAAATAGAATTGCTCCCTAAAAAAAAAAAAAAAAAAAAAATTAAGGATTGCACCACTTTTTTTTTTAATATAGATCATTAGCTATATTAAATTATTTATAATCTATTAGGATTTAAACTCTTGACCTCTTATAAAAAAGCACTATCCTTGGGCTATAAGCTCTTTGGTTTTGAGTATTTGATTAATTCAAAGTAAAAAATATAATTGCTCTGTCAAAAAAACTAAGGATTGCACCCCTTTTTTTTTCTTAATATAAATAATTGCTATATTAAATTATCTATACTCAACATTACTATTATTTTTATTTTATTTTTAACCAATATATTTGTAATTTATTTTTTTAATTACATTTTATATTCATTTAGCACGTATTTTTATTTTTAAATTATTATAATAATTAAAAAAAATCTTCAAAGTTTTTTTTTTTTAAATGCTACATATTATAAGTTTCGCAACAGCTAAGATCAAGTATTAAAAAAACAACAGCATAGAAGTTAAAAAAGAAAAAATAATAATAATTTTGTCTATTTACTTTTCAAAATGTTTTGAATGATGTATCATTTTTTTTTTAATTATTTTGATTGAGTTCTTCTATTGAATTCTCACGTGTAACATATGTCATGTATTTAAGAGTGTGATATATCATGTCAACTCACAAACTATCGATATTATAAGAAAAATAAAATATAGAATAGAGAGACTCAATTAATAAGAAAAAAAATAAATGATCTCAATTAAAAAATAAAAATAAAAAGTAAAGGTACCATTTATAGGCAAAACTTAATTTTTAATAAACTCTCTTTCTTATATTGAACTCTCTCATGTCTAGATGCACCCTTTTTTAAGTTTTTATGTCTGTGGTCCCTTCCATATTTTCATTCTCCTTCCTATTTCAATGTTATCTTTTTAACTTGACTTTTTTTTTTTTTTTTTAATCAAGCTATTACACTTTTAACAAGTCTTTTTCCTGTTACACCTCTTCATCATTGTGGTCACTCAACCAATCACAATTAAAAATATCTTTTTCACATTTTCAATCATCGCCTACATGTCTTTATCTTTCTCAAAACTACAATATGGAAAGACCACGCACATAAAAAATTAAAATTGAGCATCTAGATATGAGAGAGTTAATTAAAAATTATAGCACTTGAGGTACAAATCATCTCTTTTGTTTTATGACATTTGGATTTTCTTGATGATTTTAATTGGTAATTTCAACTTCACTAAACTAATAAAGAATGGACAAAAGAAATGATGAGAAGAGAAGGAGTGAATCATCAACTGAGAAGAGAAATTATGGCTAAAGGAGAGAGAATTGAGGGTTTTGACAATTTATATAGCTATTTATTTATCAATTTTTTTCCTTTTTCAAAATTCATTTATTTCTATTCCGTAAAAAAAGAAATTAAATTATTTGATACTCGTCACAATTCTATAAACTTAACTGTAAGATTTAGTGTCTTTGGTCCAAATCTTAACAGAATGACAAATGGGGAAACTGAGAGAACTCTTAAAGACTGCAAGCATTAACCTATTTTGTTTTTTCATTCCTTAGATCTTCGCCCAGTTGTCTTACATGATCTTGTTAGATTTTGTCTGGGGCTAGGTACTGGGCATGATGATAATGTCTCATGTAATTTCTTTGGGCCAATGTAAAGAACAACTCAACTATTTTTACTATTCAAAAATGATCTGTCTTTCGGCATTGAACAGAGTTAAGAAAGCCCAAAAGAAAATAGCTCTAGCTGTGTTCCTTTTATGCTGGCCGGATTTAGGAGATAAGAAACGCGAATCGACGGAAACCGACTTGAAAAACACCATGTGGTTATATATATATATATATATATATAGGTCCTTCATGAATCCTAGGTGATAGGATATCTATAAACGTTAAACATATTTTATTTTGTTTCAATATTAAAGAGATTTTTATATTATATTTCACGTATCAAGAATAATTTTTGTTTTTAAATAGATTTTGAAAAGCTATTCACATTCTGTTTAATGCATTCATAATTTTCTTGCAACTTTTTCTGTAATCCAATAGTAAATCTATTTTAAAAAGCAAATCCATCTATAAATATTAAAATGAGAGTGAATGATTATGAACATGGCAGATATTGATAATGAGATTAGGCAAGAGTGATTAAGAACTTTATAGTTTTTGTTTAACGTTACTCTTGCTAAATGAGTATCTCAACCTAAAAATTTAAATTGTTAAGTGAGGTTTTATCAATGATTTTATATAATTCTCTAATACACCTTATCAAGAAAAAAATATTTTGGACTTAAAACTTGTATATGTTTATACTATTTTATGTTTAATTAATTTGAAAAAAAAATCTCTAATACACCCTTTTAAAGAAAAAAATTTTATAGTAAGAATTGAACTCATGATTATTTAGTTAATAAAACTCTGATATCATACGAAAGAATTATTTTAATTTAAAATTTTAAACTATTAAGTAAAACATCTACACGACTCTCCAACACCTCTGCTATTAGTGATCTCAACTGCATTCCATGCATGGATCATTTCCATCGCTATGAAAACAACTAAAGGCCAGTACTTGATGGGAATTCAATTTTTTTTCCCCCTAATTCCAAATATGAATTCCCAGTAATTAATTGATCGCTCAATTCACTACCACCAATGAGGTCTCCCCCTTTTGCTTTATGTGCGTGTGACATCCAACTTCCATGCAAACAACTACAACCACCGCCTTAACTTTCCCTTTTATTGATTTCTTTATTTATTTGTCACCTAGCTACTACTTCTATTTCTTCTTTTAAGATTCCTCCAAACAGATATTAAATAATTAATAATGGTAATAGAATTTTCTGGAAATGGAACTTGTGATCATGGAGGATTTGCTTAGATTTTTTTATAAGCGAATTACAAATTGTATTAATAAAGGAAACTCAGAGGGCTAAGGATGATTACTATGGGAGCATGGATAATGTGTATATATATAGTTCGAGTCTGGAAAATTCGGCAGAAAAAATGCAGCCAAAAGTGCCAAAACCAGATAAAAAGCCAAAGAATTACGCAGGGCAGTCAAAATTGCAGGCAAAAACTACTGCAAGATCACAAGAGAGTAAGACTTCATTTAACGAAATAAATGCCTCAATCAAGTTGATGGATTTGCCTAATCGGAGTATTCATGATCACGCGTGTTCGATCCCTCACCTAATGTTTTCGCTGAAATAAATACCAGCATTATGTGCTTATAAATGCGTGACCAATGTAAAGGTCAAGTATTCAATGATCTTAACCGTATTATTAACCCACATAACCATTTTCATTTTTCCCAAACCCATTGGCACTCCGGCCTTTATGTCAAGATGGTCCAACTGGTTCACCAGGGATTCGTCCCTAACTAGGTTACTGTGGAGCGGGACTGAAAGTCTATTGAGCATTTAACTTTCCTAGTTTTTCTAATTTTTCTGGATACACTTCAAAATTATTTGGCATCAATTATATCTCACTCATCCTTCGTTATATATAAAAACCCAAATTCTGACAATATATTCATTTCTTTCAAAAAAAAAAACAAATAATAATTAAAAAAATCCTTATTGGTCAACTCGATTATAAAACACCACTCGCATCTTTTTCATTGTAATTACTAGCCGGTTATTCATAAGCTGTGTGGTTTATTGTAAAAAAATAAATAAATAAATTTATTATTAAAATCAAATTATAATATTACTTTATACTAAATATATATAAAACTAAAAAACAAATAAGAGTGAAGAAAAATCGAATTAAAAAACTACAGGATCGAAATCCTTAATACTTTAGGGCCTTTAAATCTGTTTTACAAAATTAATATTAGTGTGTTTGTATTTGACATAATAGAGTTTGTCTTAGAAATTGAATTGAGATTGTATAATAAATAATATAAATACTTTTTATAAAATACAAAATTAGTGTTGGAATTGAAATAAAATAAAGTTAATAAAGTAGACGTAATAATCTATATTTATCCTAGAGTTTAACTTTTTTCCCCCTAGAGTTTCTAAGAATTTATCGTTTTATTTTTCTAGAGCTTTCGAGAGATTTATCTTGATTTTAGGAAACCACGTAGGATATGTGAATGAATTTTATTTATTTATTCAAGTTGATAATATCAAGATTAGACAAATTAATAGTTGATTAAAAATCAAACAAAGAAATAATATTAAAAAAAAAAGATATGAAAAAAAATAATATACAATTTCAAACAGATGAGAGAAATAATACAAAGAAGCGATATAAAAGATATTCTTATAATTGCATTGCGATATCATATTATAGTTATATATAAGATTCTATAAAATATAAAAAATATCAGAAAGACTATGATAATATTATAGAAAATTACTATATATATTTGTATGATTTAGTAAACTCTTTCAAGCTAAGAATGAGAACGTACCCACACAAAACTTGAAAGTAAGCATAAAAAATTTGATCGTGAGAAGTAATAAACTTGATAATAAAAAGGTCCTTACTTATTTGATCTAAGATAAAATAAAAATCAACTTCAACATGCTTAATTAGTACAAGCATAAGAACAGAATTTATAAATAAGTACCACCAAGATTATCACACCAAATAATGGAAGGAGATGAATGAACAATAGCCGAACTTATGAAGAAAGGGTTGAACCCGGATCGACTCGGAGGCACCATCAACAAGGGTTTTGTATTCAACTTTAATGGAGGAGTAAGTAATAGTTTGGTGCTTACTAGATTTCTAAGAGACAATATTATTGCTAAGAAAAATGACATAGCCATCTATAGATTTATGGTCATTAATATTGTCAGCTCAATCAACATCGGTAAAGGCATATAGTCGAAGATAAGAATATCAATAGAGATGAAGATCATGATCAAGAGTGTGCTATAGATAGCAAAGCATTCATTTGACAACCATCCAATGATCTTTAGTAGGAGAATGAATGAATTGACAAGCTTTGTCAACAACAAAGCCGATATCGGGATTAGTAAGAATCAAACATTATAAAGCACTAAAAATTTTTACAATACTTGGAAGTCTTAAGAAAAGGTTTATTATTATCAAGATAGAGCTTGGTGGAAGTGGATATTGTGGCTCCCCCACCCCGGTTCACTCTCTATTACCCAAATAGGAGTAACTAGGCGAGGCGCATCACACCGACACGACCGGTCTTCGAATTAACTTTAGACACGTATGTGCTCATACGTTAAGGATTTATCATACTATGAAATGCATATAAAATAATTTACATAATATTAATAATACAATGGAAGAAATTATAAAATTTATTTACAAGACCATCAAAATATTCATCAACACCCCAACCCTAAATTTTACAAACAAAATAAAATCTTCTAAGTTTTATGCCACCCCCGATCCCTTTTGGAGGATCCGGCGACTTCCTTATTGGTACTACGATCATCGCTACCTATCATAACATACAAATAACCACAAGGTAAGCCGAAGCTCACTAAGTGGGGTGATTGACGTGATATGCAATGCTTTTCCGACTTTCCATCATTCTCATCAATTTTTAATTCCGGTACCATGGGTATTAGCGATCTACTTTATAGATGATTACCGAATCACCGAATGCTAACAACGAAATTATCCCTCATTGTAACCACTCGCTAATGGGAATCCATCGCCTAACAATGCGATGCATACAACTTAGAGTACGCACATAGTTGGACCGCTAACCCCTTTTTATTTTATTAGGTTACCAAACCTATTCATACAACTTCATTCTCAATTAATTGATTCTGTTCCCATTTCTTTCTCATTGATGCATATGATGCATGTGATACCATAATTACGAGTACCAAGGATATTGGATATCAAACCCTACACCGTTATTTCATCCTCAATATCCAACCCATCTACATTATTATTTCATTCTCGATATCCAACCTAAACTAGTTTCTCCATATAGTTCATACACCGGTTTAAAACATACTAAGGTGATTTTTTTTTCTCCGAACCCAAATTAGGGCATTTTGGGCTGAATTGGGCTTTTAATGATCTTGGTCAAAATTTTGATTTACCTAGCAATTTTTCCTATCTAAACGTCCTCTTATACTTATTAGGATGTACTCAAACCATTAATTATGGAATTGAAGGATTGGAATCCAAATCCCCACGGCTTAGGGTTTAAGTCGAATAGGTCCTTAAAGTGGCCAAATATTACTTTTTCATCATAACTTATTAATGTATACCTAAATAAATTGTAATTGAGTCCTATGCCCTTAATTATATAAAATGGATCCGATCAATCTTATTCATTTTCTTACTTAGGCTGAAAGGATTCTTTAGTGAAAACCCTAGGAATTCATTCTCCTCTCCTATCCAATTTGTGGTTTATTATAGGGCGACCTCTAATCAAGTAGGTAACGTACCAATTTCTGAGTATAATTAAATCTTATCCTTTTTTTATTAGAAACTAGACATATTGATTCATAACATATCCAAAAATTAGGTTCAAATGCCAAACACACAATTCATAACATAATTTTGAAATTTAAGATTCAATCTGTCCAGTAGTAGTTCACCCAACACGATCCGCACTAAAACGAGCATAACTTTTTTTATATAAACCTAATGATTAAAATATTTTATAAGACGTTATTCAAAATATAGATAAACAACTTTTATTCTTTTTGGTTCACCCAAAAATCATTCTAAATTCCTTGAACGAGCAACACCAAAGTCGAACAAAAACTACTCCTCAATAACACTCGGTTTGGCCATTCATTCCAACCCACATTAATCATGTTTTAGTCTAATTAAATTTCAATCCAAGTCCAATCCAACCATTTTCACATACTTGGACATGCCCTAGGCATTATAAACATCACAATTCATCACCTACACAACCACAAGTAAAGCAAGCCAAGACATCAAACGACCACCAACGCAAACCAAGCTCAACAATAAACAAACAACTCAACCAATACCTAACTTATACACATAAAAATAGGCATGTAAAAGCATAAATAAAACAAAGAAACCTACTTACTTAGCTTAGGTATGGTTAGTATTTCCTTGGCTTTTCCTTCTTTCTTTTCTTTTTTTTTCTTTCCTTTTCTTTTCCTTTCGTCTTTTGTCGTTTCACTCTTTCTCACTTTTATTTTCTCTCCGGTTTATCGACTACGATTTTGGACTAATAAAATGGCAGCCATGCACTCCATTTCTATATATATATTCTTCATTTCCTTATAGCTAAATAGGTGTATAAATGGATTAATTTAATTTGGGTGAGTGGAAAGTTATTGGTGAGCCATGAGAAAGAGGGTGGTAGATTTGAGAGGTTTAGGGTGAAGTCGGACGTAATTCATTAATTAGGAGGTTTAGGTGTCCTAATTAATTGATTAGATTAAATCAAGTAACTAAACACATTTATTTTCATTAAATTTCAGAAATTCCTCTCCCTAAACTCAGAATTTTCTTCCCCAAAAATGTTCCAAGCAGTTGACACTTCAAAACTAGCCTATACTAAAATAGCTATAACTCTTTATATATAGGTCTAAAAATCACAAACCTTTACAGAGTGCTAGTAGACACATAGAAGAAAAACTTTTATTCTTTAAGTTTTACCTATAAATAACTCTAAAGTCCTCAAATAAATCACACAAAATTTAGGCAGTAATGTAGTCCTCAAAACACCGATTTTACATATTTGATTTCTTTAATAATTAAACCATTAATCTCATGCACAATAACATTAATTTAACATAAATCATATATTTCAAGAATTAATTTCTCATGCTGTAATGAGAATTATACTTACTCTTAATATATGTATATATGTAAATATTCTAATACGCGTCGCTTTACGATTAAGAATTTTCACGGGGTCGCAGATATCGGGATAGTCACAAGTTTGCATTGGGACATAGCAGCATGAGTAATAATATCTTGAAGATATTTCCACTAAAAAGAAAACCCTAACTAGTAGATGTTAAAGCACCTCAATTCTAAGAAAGTATGTAAGATGACCAAGATCACGAAGGCGAAATTTAGCATTAAGTGTGCAATAAGAATTATAATATGAGGAAGGTTATTACCCATGATAAGAATATCATCAACATAAACTAAAAGAAAGATTGTGATAAGAACAAAGGAAGCCAAAGCTATGTTAGTTTTATTAGATTATTTGTTGAATAATTAGTTTTATTTCCTTCCTTTTTCATTTAGATTATGAATCCCAA